TGGCACGGATTTTGGCAGGGATACGTCAAATCCGTATCAAAAACACTTTGGCACGAGCTATTTGGTACGAAAAATTGATAAGTCCGTGCCAAATTCCGTGTCAATCCCGCCTTTTTTTGTAGTGTCATCCATCCCAGATTGACTTTTTCGACAATCAACTTTGATCGGTGATATTTTTTAATGTAAAATTATTTTGGATATAAAATTATGTATCAAACTATTCCTTATTCAAAATATTTTCATAAAAATATAAAATTTATAAGTTATACATAAATATAATTATTAAAATCATTGTCCAACGTTTGTCCAATAAGTAATATTTTTCTTGTGCATCCAATGATTGCATTAAAAAAATTAATGTGGTAAAAGAGTACCTTTTTACCAATGGTTAAAATTACTTTTCCTCACCACTTTACCTTTAACAATATGTAAATTATTTCAAATTATTGCTTAGTATCAATAGCTTAAAATTGAATGATCAAAATGTATACATCAATATGATAAAAAAAAATGTATACATCAATAATAATAGAAAATACGAATATACGAATTATCATTTTTTTTAAATAAATATTGTGAGGTTGGTTCGCATTTAGCGATCTCGGATAAATATGGTTGCAATTAGTTTGCGATTCTTGGCCGGTTTTCATCAACAACAAATATTGCAAATAGAAATCTAATTTGAATTTTTCATCCCATCCACTGTACTCCGTATAATTTTTGAATGAAATTTGCGTCTCATATTCTATATTATTTGAGTTTAGATTCTTTAGTCTCAAAATGGGTTATTTATCTTAAACGCGGCACCAAATTGCTAGACAATACATATAATTTCTCAAAGGTACAAATTATATATTTTAATGAGAATATTTTTAAGTAATAAATACTATGACAATCCATGTAGAATTTTTCCATTGGTGTAGCTTTAACATCTTGATCTTAAATAAAAACAAACATGACAAAGTATTTTGAATAATTTAGGATAATTTTAATAATCATCTCATACTCCGTATTATGAATTATGGTGTGTGAACTCGATTTGTTTATAACAAATAGGGGCAAAATCAAATACGGATGTTGCGAAGGATGTAAACTCAATTTCCCCTTTTGTATATATGTGTATATATATACACTATCTCCCTACCCACCCCTCTAATTAGCATTAGACACTTCCAACTTTCTGTCCAGAAAAACATTTCGTGTTGTCTCTCCCCAATTTGTACAACTTGAACCATTATTGGTCTACATTTATAGTATACTATCATCAAATTTTTAGTATTTATTCCACATTATATTATACTCCCACAATACAATGACAAGAAGGAGGAACATAACTATGCGGTTGTCGCCGGTGAGAACTAATTCCGGCCGCTACGGCGATCTACTGTTCCTCGGCAACTACGACGACGCGTCGCCGGGAAACAAAGACGACTTATCCAATATTAGTAGAAGTTCCTCCTCCGCCTCAACCTCGTCACGTCGGAGTATTTTCCGCATCGGTAATAATAGCCTTTCGTCCGGCGATAGCCCGAATAATAGCACCGACTCCTCCCCGGGACGGAACCCGTCCGGGTCCTCTACTTATATTAGTTCCCCGTGGAACCATGACCGGAAACCACCTCAAACGGCGGAGGATAATCAGAATTGCCTGATCGGGTCGCTTGTCCGAGAAGATGGACACGTTTATTCCATAGCCGTTACGGGTGGGTTGCTCTACACGGGTTCGGATAGTAAGAATATCCGGGTCTGGAAGAACTTGAAGGATTATTCCGGGTTCAAGTCGGGTAGCGGATTCGTGAAGGCGATTGTTGTGTGGGGTGAAAAGGTTTTTTCGGGTCATCAAGACGGTAAGATCCGGATATGGGGAGGTGAAAGGAAATCGTATAAACGGGTCGGGAGTTTACCCACGACAAAGGACTATTTGAAGAGCGCCATTAACCCGAAAGCCTACGTGGAAGTTAGACGGAAACGTAACGTTCCGTGGCTGAAGCACTACGACGCCGTTTCGTGCTTGAGCGTGGACGAAGAAAACGGGTTTCTCTATTCGGGTTCTTGGGATAAAACCGTAAAAGTCTGGAGATTATCCGATTCGAAATGCATAGAGTCCATCAAAGCCCACCACGACGCCGTCAACTCCGTCGCCGTTGGGTTTAGCGGCCTGGTTTTCACCGGCTCAGCCGACGGAACGGTTAAGGCATGGAGGAGGGAAGTTCTCGGAACGCGTGTGAAGCACGCGCCAATGGGCACGTTGTTGAAGCAGGATAACGCGGTGACGTCACTTGTGGTCAGCGCTGATTCTGGGACGGTCTACGCCGGCTCGTCCGACGGTCTGGTCAACTTCTGGGAGTTGGAGAACAAATTTATGGTTTATGGGGGAGTTCTCCGGGGACACAAGCTCTCCGTCCTCTGCCTCGCCGCCGCCGGAAATCTAGTGATGAGCGGATCGGCGGACAAGAGCATATGCGTATGGAGGAGAGATGAAGGTGGGATCCACACGTGCATGTCAGTGCTGACTGGGCACACCGGACCAGTGAAATGCCTGGCCGTGGAAGAGGACCGTGAAGGGGAGGAGGACGGCTCCGACCGGCGGTGGATAGTTTACAGTGGTAGTTTAGATAAGTCAGTGAAAGTGTGGAGTGTGTCGGGCTCGGAGCCCGCGCCGGAGTGTTAGCGCGCTTATTTAATTTGTAACGGTAAAAGTTAGTTAAAGTTAAATCAAATAGTACAGTAAATTTGAATGCATGTAAAAGCTAATGCATGCACGTATTAGTAATAGTATCCTAGTATGTATTGTGAAATGTTTAGACAACAAATATGTAAATGAATGCGACCTCCATCTCAAGCAAATGCTTCATTCGGTTCCACTATTCCCTCATTAAGGTAAATTGTTGAGACTTACCCGAAATAGAACTAAAAGAGTTTGAAAATTCGAAAATAGGACTGTCATGTTTTTATTTCCAAAATAGGACTAATAATTAATTCCTGCCAATAGCCTCGCCAAGAAATTAAGAACATATATCCAGTAGCCCAAATAAGATGTCCAAATAAGAACATCCATGCCCAGACTGATAAACTATTCATACCAAAAGGATTATATCCGTTCATAAGTTGTGAAGAATTTAACCATAAATAATCTCTTAACCAGGCCATCAAATAAGTCGAAGATTCATTAAACTATGAAACATTACCCTGCCATAAGGTGATGCATATCAGACTTCAAACATGACACTATTTTTCAAACTTGGCAGTGATTATTCCCTATTTTGTGAATAAAAATGTGACAGTACTTTTTTAGAATTTTCAAACGTTTTTAGTTCTATTTCAGGAACTTTCCCTAATGTAAATTGTTGATAATATTTATATATTACGTATATCCAACTATAGTTACGTTAATTACTATATGCATATACGAAGTATATTACTAGTCTAGAATTGAATCCAATTAAGTTACTAAAGTTAGTATGTATGGTGATCAGTAAAATATACAAACATATTTTTACTGTAACCTTTTTGGGCCACATACAAGTATTTTTTATTATTTCAAATTTATAGCAATTTACAAACAGATTTTTTTATTTTAGATCCCTCTTACCTGTTCTCTTGTAGTCGATCAGCGACGCTTATTTTTCTTCGGCCTTTTCAATCTATCCACTTCTTTTCGAATGTGAAGAAGGGTACGTTCTACTTCCGAATCCCTCCACTTTGGTTTCCATTATTTTAATCACCTTAATTGGTCCCCAACCAATATAAGCACTTAGGAATCCACAGTATCTATTTTAAACTCCTAATACCTATCTTACTCTCTATCGATGACTCTCACGTACTCATACTCTCATAGTAACAATTTTTCGGAACTTGTAGATTTAATTTGTAATCGTATGTACTCCGTATCTGTTTGGCTTAATTTAACACAAAAAAGTTATGGTCTCTATCTAGCACATAGGTGGGGCTCAAATTAGCAGCCAAGTGCAATGTTCCAGGTGTCCGGTTGAAGAGGCCAATGTTCATAGCTAGAATTATTAGGTAGATTTATACATATAACGTGGCGACTTGTCATTGACCAAGACCTGTGCTTCTCATTGGCACTTTATAACGTTGCGGCTTTGATTAAACATAAGTCGGTGTCTCGGTCGATTTCACGCTTTCTGAAATCCGTCTTTGTTCATGAATAAACACCTCGCTGGCTTCAGTAAAACATCTTGATCTTCTGTAAAGCTAGAATTAATCTATTCGTGAAGTTTGCACCCCACTTGGCCGTTTGAGGGACTGCATATATATCTTTTCAATAATTTAGTATTTGAGACCCATATATAAGGACAACGTTTTCTGTTAGGTTTTTTGATTGACTGATATTAATTATTAAGGAGTAGCATTTTGTAAATTAGTGTTTGATAAAAATAATTGTTTACGCTCGGCCGATGACTTATCAAATGACTTTTAAGGACATTAATTATTATTTTTCATTTACTTTATGTTTCATACATTTTGTAATGTTATTAGTACGTACAATTACTTAAAACATTTAAATGATTCAAAAAAAGCTTAATTACATATTTACATAGGCAATAATTATTTTAAACAATTTTTCATGTATTAATAAATTTAATTTTCAAGAGTTTGACCAACAGTTTCAATAGTTTTGAGTTTTACACTTTATGTATATATGATATGAATGCCTTCCCGGTCGAATTTTTAGCTGAAATTTGGTATGGACAAACTAGACTTGATGAAGAACATGCTCAAAAAGTTTCATAAAAAAATTCCACCGGGAACCGCCCCAAACGGCGGAGTTCGGACGGCGGCTGGACTGGGGAGGGCTGGACCTGATCTAAATAGGACCAAGAACAATAAAAAAGTTCCAAAATAGGACTCCTTGTTGATTTATCCCTCAAATAGGAGTTTTTAATTGACCGGCCGTACCTAATTCCCATAATACCCAACTTTACAGCTAGCTTCAACTTCAATTATTTGCTTTTGTCAGACTACCTTTCAGTCTGTACGTTTGTATTTCAATCGCACGCCTCTTCCTATTTCCTCTCACGTTTCCTTTCTCTCCTCTCCCTTTTTTCCTCCATCACTCATCCATCTCCAGATCTCTTCTCTAGCTTTTCTTCTCCATCACTCATCCATCTCCAGATCTCTTCTCTAACTTTTCTCCTCCATCACCCATCCATCTCCAGATCTATTCGATTTCTCCATCTCCAACACATAATAAAGGTTTGGACTAGGATTTTTTCTCCTCAACTCCGGCCATCGGCGGACGACGACGACAATAGAGGTAATTAAATTCTTCTTCTTCTTCTTCTCCTCCTCCTCCTCCTCCTCCTCCTCCTCCTCCTCTCCTTCTTCTCTTTCTATTTCTTCTTCTTTTCTTCCCCTATCCCTTCGTTTCCTTCAATCTGAGGCAGAGCCTCTATTTCCTTTTTTTTTACAATGTGAAGGTTCTATACAATTATGGCATAATTATGACAAACTTTTAGATTGATTTTTGGTTTATTTTTTTCCCCTTTCGGATCCGAATTGAACTTATCAAGTTTTTTCTCTTGCGTTTTCTTCTTTTTTTCTTTGATTTTTTCTTTCAGCTTTTGTTCTTTTAACTTTTTATTTACATTTTATAATAAGATGATATTTTTTTATTCGATCATGTCAATTAAATTTTTGTAACCCTTCAAATTAATTTTTTGATTTAGATTTAAGTTTCCATAACTGCTAGTTTTTATGGCATTAAAATGAACATATTACTTCTTTGGAAAAACAATACTATTAATGCCATATTTTTCTATTTTTCTCTTAACAATATTATTGTTGACATTTAATGCCATTTTTATAACATTAATTCCATCAATATGGCTACTAATTCCATGTTTTTGCTTATATAAAATATATTATTTTCACAATATTATTTTTGACATTTAATTCCATCTTTATAAAATTATTTCCATCAATATGGCTACTAATGCCATGTTTTTTCTTATATAAAATATATTATTTTCACACATAGTTCCATTCATATGGCATTAAATCTGTTATGATGGCAATACCATTCCCATTACAATTACAACATTTATAATGCCATGAAAATATGAAGATGGAAATAAAATGCATATACTTTATTATAATGTAAAAGTTCCATTAAATTAAAACAGACATTTAAGACACTCCTTCCAAATTTCAAATCACTGCAGGGACCAAGGTGGTGGTAGAGTTTGAAGGCAGCTGTGGAGATGGTAACGGAGGAGGTGGATCCTCCGTCAATTTTCAATTTTCAGAGGCGTTGAATATGAGCATTGAGGCACTCCAACTCAACTTCCTTGTTGTCCATTCGTCCCCCTCATTCTTCATTTTTATTTTTATTTTTTGAGATTTTGTTTTATATTGAATTTAGGGTTTGTGAGCATTAAATATGGGCATTGAACACCGTCACTGAACATTTCAATAAGTGTGGAGTATTGACAGTGAATATATATGGTAATAGACATGTTGTACATGACAGTGAACGAATGCATTAAAAAATTTTGTTGTACAATGATATGATCAGTATTGCAGTAACACAAAACAATGATATCATCATGAAATGCAATATACTTGATCAGACGTAAAATAATAAAAATTATTAAATTAAAAAAAACTCAATTGAATAAGAAGAGTAAATTTTAAGGGAAATGCAGTGACTATTATCGGATGTGCAGTAAAGTCATGCATTAATTTTGTGCATTAATGACAATATAAAGTGCAGTAATTTTAATTAGACGAAATTAGTGCAAAATGCACATATTTTAAATAAGGGTATTTTGTCATTCAGCATTTAAATATAAACGAATTTTCTATTTTTTTTTTTTTGGATTTTTGGTCATACAAAGATATAAAAATTAGTTAGGTCATATATTGAGAAACTCACTGAGTTTTAATTATATTGTGGTAAATTTCCCATATTCCATTTCCTTGAATCTTTTAGCACTTACCCGGAAGGCTGAAACCACAAAAGAAACGGACACACAAGATTTTCTAGATTCAGAGTTTAACGTTGTGGCTCTATTACCCTACTCCGCCTAGTTGTTCACAAGTAATTCGTAGCCCAATAGGTTTATCTGTTCGATCAACATCTTTTACATCAAACAAGTAACTCATAATTTCATGTCCCGATGTAATAATCAAAATAAGTAAGATTGACGTTACTTTTCTGATTGCATTGACTCAAAGTTACTATAGAAAATCATTTTAACTAGTTGTTATCTAATATTTTCTTTATTTTATTAATATACGGAGTAATATAGTCTAGGTATAACTTTTATAAATAAGCACAATCAGCCGACACAGTCAACTTCATAAATTTAAGAAGAATATCTGATTCACGGTTACTAAATCACTTTAATTATTAAGTCTTATTTGCATGTTTTACACCGAACACATAACTCATAATTTCGCGCTTTCACATAAAAAAGTAATTAATATTGAAGTTACTTTTACCATTGCATTGACTCAAGTTAACAAAGAAGATCATTTTAACCACTTTTTCATCTAAATTTTTCTTTATTTTATTGATATACGGCGTAAAATAATTTAAATATAATTTTTTTCAACAACACAGTCAGCGAATACAACCATTTTAGCCTTGAATTTCATAAATCTCAGATGAATCAACTGATTCACTGTTACTAAAAGACTCTAAATGGAAAATTCCTTAATTCAAGTAAATTAAAGATGAAGCACATAAATAGAAATATCATTATTTTGTTCCTAAATAGGATACTTAAACTTGGTAAATTATATCCTACGACCGGCTGTACCTTGAGCATGGTACAGCCGGGTATTTTTGTAATAAATAAATTGTAACGCTGACGAACGAAGGGTAGAGAAAATTGCATCGGCACCGGCTTCGAGAGCCATGGATACCGGCGCTTGCCCGCAGCAAAGTTGTCGTCTCCATTAAGTGGAGTAATGGGAAAAAGGTGTTTTCACCCACGCAGCTCAGCGGTTTCAGTGTTTCTTCACCCATGCAAATCAATTTTCAAAATCATCACAAATGACAAACCCCTATTGGATGATTAATCAACCCTCTGCCACCTGCATAAGTAATTCCTCTGCCACCTGCATAAGATAAACTTTAACCGACAAAGTGCTACTCCTTAGTCTTATCACGTAGTATTTGAATACATGAGCAATAAAATGGGAATATTTGCACCAAGATGAAGCTACTTGGGAAGATTATGATTTGATAGTCAAGCAGTTTTCGGAAATAAAAGCTTGTGGCAAGCTTTAGAAAAAGAAGGGGGCAATGTTATCATTAAGCCTTCATTTCTTTATATTGGGCCTAAATAGAACTATTGGGCTGCTTAGGTTGTGGGTTATTCATTTAGTTCTATAGCCTTATTCTTACTAACGAACTCTTAGTTAAGTCGTTAGCTGATTGTATAAAGAAACGGGGCACGAACTGTAAAGGCTATGGTTGAAGTAATAATACTCTCTCCTTCTCCATCTTCTCTCTGTTATTCTGATTTTCTTGGTTTGTTATGAATGTTTTCTCTCTTCTTTATACATTCACAACATTTATTCATCTTGATTCCTGGCAAATGTTTTACTCCCTTTCTCCTACTGACATCTTCTACTCTATACGGATGGTGTAGCAGTCACGGGCGTCTCACTCACAGTAGCAGTGGGGGTCCGAACTCCGAAGTATATATCTTCTTTCTCGCCATCACAGGAAGCCATTTCACCCACTGTTTAGGCCTCTAACCAGTCAAACATTATCTTAAATAGGTCTCAAGACACGTATTTACCACTTCAGTCTGCCCATCACTTTGAGGATGATAGGCAGTACTATATTTAAGTTTTGTTCCAGCTAACTTGAACAGTTCAGACCAAAAGGAGCTCAAGAACAAGCTGTCTCTGTCACTGACAATGGATTTTGGAAATCCATGAATCTTGACCTCTTGCACAAAAACTTCTGCAACTCCCTTGGCATTGAATGGATGTGCCAAGGGAATAAAGTGTGAAAATTTGGTCTGCCCGTCTACCACAACCAAAATAGTGTCCTTACCATGTGATCTTGGTAACCCTCTAATGAAATCCATGATGATGTCTGTCCACACTTGCTCTGGAATCGGTAAAGGTTGCAGCAACCCTGCAAGCTTTAGAGCCTGATACTTGTTTCTTTGACAGATTTCACACCCCTGATTGTAACCCTTGATGTCAGACTTCATTCCCAACCAAAAAAACAAACTAGATATCCTCTTCATAGTTCAGAAATAGCCTGAATGCCCCCCTATGGCTGAATCATGATACTCCTTGAGAATGGTCAGTATCCCCGGAGATCCTTTTGGCAACACCATCCCGCCCTTATAATACAATAATCCACCCCTACTTGTGTAGTCTAGATACTGATCTGGCTGAGTCATCATTCTCTGAATCACCTCCTTCCATTTAGGGTCCCTCTCCAATTCCTCTTTTAATCCCTTCCATTCCTGATAAATCACTGAAGATAAAGCAGCATATATAGGACTTTCTAGAGAGAGCATCTGCACCTTTATTTTCAATTCCAGGCTTATACTTGATAGTGAAGTTGTATCCCATCAACTTGGCTATCCATTTTTGCTGATCTTCTCCCATAGCAGTCTGTTCAGTCAAGTATTTCAGGCTGTGTTGGTCAGTATGCACTTCAAAACTCCTCCCTAGTAGATAAGGCCTCCACTTCTGTATGGCAAATACAATTGCCATGAGTTCCTTCTCATAAACTGATTTGGAGAGGTGCCTAGGAGACAAGTCCTTACTCATGTAGGCAATTGGACCTCCCTCCTGCATGAGAACTGCACCAAGACCCTTACTAGAAGCATCAGTTTCCACCACAAACATTTTATTAAAATCTGGAACTCTAAGGACTTGTACATTACTCCTAGCCATGTTCAGATGTTCAAAAGCTTTCCTGGCACTCTCATTCCATTTGAATCCATCTTTTTTTTGAGTAGATTTGTTAATGGAGCAGCAATATGGCTGTAACCTATTGCAAATCTTCTATAATACCCAGTCAACCCTAAGAATCCCCTTAATTCTTTTAGGTCTTTAGGTATATTTGATAAGTCCGTATTTTGACACGCATTTGATGCGTGTTGAGATCGGCTTTTGATGGTTTTCCTAGCTTTAAGGTGTTACAAGTATCAATTTTAGCTCAAGTTATGTTTAACAGGCGTTGGTTCGAGTTTTGTGTCCTTTGGAGTCAAAATCAGGATTTTAGAGTTCGGGTACCGGCACTTGAGGAACAATCGGGATGAGTTGAGAAGCATTTGAGAATGATTTGATAGCTTTGGAGGTCACCGGAAGATTCACGATGAAGATTTGAAGGAAAAAGAGCTCTAGGATTGGCTTCGGGATCAAAAGAAGATGAATGAAGCTTGAAAACGACGATCAGGATGACCTTCTGTCAATCGTTCAAGCTTATCTCTTTGTAGAAACAACCAATGGACACGATTCAAGTTGCATATGAAAGCTAACGTCAAGGTCTACAAATCATATGAAGAAACCTTTGCGAGAATCTGAGAGGAAGAAGGTGAAAACAGACGATGAAGTCAGATGATCTCTGCTGCGATTTCAGAAAGACACCTTCCACTGTTTTGATCATATCTCTTGATTGGAGGATTCAAATCACATTCGGCAAATTGGTGTGGATAGAGGACTTCATTATCTACAACTTTCATGGAGGAAGTTTTGTCAAATTCGGAAAGTTAAGTAGGCACGATCGTGCCCTCAAAGTCAGACACGATCGTGCCCGAAGAGAAAAAACACGGAGGAGTTACTGCCAGCCAGGCACGATCGTGCCTGGAGGGAGGCATGATCGTGCCTGCCCAAAATGCGCGTTTTTGCTCCGGAGGCACGATCGAAGGCACGATCGTGCCTGGCATCGTGTCTGGCTCCGAAAATCCTAATTCAGCTCAAATTTCACCCGATTTTTCTATTTAAACAGCCTGTAAACCCCCCGTTTTCAAGGGGGAGCTTAGAGAGAGTGCCTAGCACGAATTTTAAAGGGCTTTTCAGCCTTGTTCATCAATCTTTTGGGATTCTTTGTAAGTTCCACCTTTTTAAATTAATGACAATTAATTCTTTTTATTCCAATTCTATTGATTCTTCAATTATGAATTGTGAGTAGTTTTAATTAGGGATTTGGGATTGATGAAGGGGTTAATCATGATGTATGGATAGATTCTTTTCGGTTTAATTGCATGAATGACCGTTTAATTTGTGTTTGAATAATTTAATTGATATCTTTTGTAACCTAGAATCGCGACTAGAATTACAATTGCATGTAGAATAAATTAAGAGAGATCTAATTTGTTCTAGGACACATTCACACACACTTATATCGTTGGCTAAGAGATTAGTAGCGATTAAGGGGCCGTAAGCTCGCTCGTCTTGGCAATAATTTAGGATCCTGTCGCATGAGAGATCAGCCTGGTCCCCTAAATTATTGTACCTCTACGCCGCGAGAGCGGTAAGAACTTAGTAATGATTAGCTAGGCTCAATTAAATTAATTTCATGTAATTAGGCCTGATCT